GGAGCAGGTGACACAGGAGCTCATCCAAGTGTGTTTGGGATGTCTGCAGAGAGGGAGACTCCAGAGCCTCCCCCGTTCCAGTGCTCTGCCACCTCCATGGAGAAAGTTCTTCCTCAAGTTGAGGTGGCCCTTGTGGTGTTTTAGTTTGTGCTTGTCCTGTCCCTGGGCACCACTGGGCAGAGTCTGGCACCACCCTGGCACCCCTTGGGAGATATTTCTATGGATTGATGAGATCTCCTCTCAGCCTTCTCCGCTCCAGACTAACCAGGCTCGGCTCCCGCAGTCTCTCTTCATCAGAGAGATGCTCCACACCCCAAATCATCTCGCCCCTGCAGACAAAGGCCCCTTATTCCCTCTCCCCGGGAATCGGCGGCCCCGATGCCGCTAGAGGGAAGCAGCGCTCTCCCTTCGGAGAAAAAGGGAAAAAAGAGAGGGAAGGAAAAAAGCCACCAACCCTCTGCCCGGAGAGCGTTTCCCTCGGATGCGACACCGCCGGGCACAGGGGACTTTGTTACCCACCCCGGCAGCATTTTGGGATGACAACAGAGCTGAACCCCCTCCTTTAGGGCCCAGAGGATCCCAGGAATTGTCAGGGATTCTCACCCTGTCCCTCCTGTGAGCTCAGAGAGTCCTTCCCCCCACTCTGCTCCGTGGGGCGAGGCTGAGGCTCAGCATTCCAGGGCCGGAGGCTCCCGTGCTGCCCTGGCAGTGGGGTGATGGGGGGGGACCCCAAAAGCGAGGGCAGGTCCCTGCTGATGCCCCCCGTGCCTCCAACCCCGGGGTGGCCGCGCTGGAGCAGCTCCTGCCCGGGAATGTCACCCCCTCCCGGGTCCCCTCTGGCACTTGGGGGTCCCCCCGGGTCCCCAGCCCAGCTGTGCAGACAGATGTGCACTGGAAGCCCCGGCCTGTGTGTTTTGCAACCCTCCTTGTGAGGCCCCCAAAACTCTTCTGTGCCGCTGGGAAGCGGCTGCTGAGGAGGATGGGGCTGAGGGGAAGGGGTTGGGATGTGGCTGGAGCTGCCAGGGACCCCCCAAAGCCCAGCTGGAATGGGGGGACCCCAGGGAGCCACGGCCCAGCCCTAAGAGCTGCCCTGAGCAGATCCTGACCCTGCTTGGGATCATCACTCCAACACCCCAAGAGGTTTGGGAACCAAATCCTGGAGACCCTGGGAGGTGGGAAGGGTGCAGCTGGATTTTGGGTGCTCCCACACCCACGTGCCTCCCTCCAGGGACACCCCAGGGAGCATCCAGCTCTGCCCCGGCCCAGCTGGCAGGACCAGCCCCCACATCCCACCCCATCCCAGCGGATCCCCTCCAGGGCTTCTCCCCCTGGGATGACTTTGCCCCGGGAGGTTTTTATCTCCTTGCCTCTGATCCAATAAAAACATCCTAATTGGTGACAAAGCCACAGCCACGGACGCCCAGGGATTTATTCCCTTTCTGGCACCCAACTCAGCTGTTAAATTTGGGATTTAGGGAGCTGGGGGACAGGGATTTGCCCGGCACCACCCTGTGCTTCTGCATCTCCCTCGCTGCCAGGTCTGTGCAGCCCCTTCCCTTCCCCTTTCCATGGAAAATGAGAGGTTCCCATTCATGCAGAACAGGGAAAAAGGCTCGTGGCAATGGGGATTTTTGGTCCAGGGCCCAGGTTTTGGGATGGGAGCTGTGGGAGCCGCCGGGTCGGAGCCGGTGACACCCTCACCAGGGAGCGGGAGGAAAATGGGGCCTTTGTGCTGGGAATGTCTGGAGGGTGATTCAGCCCCGGGTGACGCCGCTGACACGGGCTGGGGGGGCCTGGGGGGGTCCCACTGTGGCCCCCCGACATCCAGAGAGCCCATCCCGGGCCCTGTGGGCTGGGGGATGTGGCACAAGGGCTCGTGACCTGTGGGCTTTGGGATGGAGACGAGGGGCTGGGGCAGCCAGGAGTGTCCTGGGCCCTTGGGAAGGGGCTGAGGGGGGCCATGGAGGGGCACCCCAAAACAGGGCTGGGCTGGGACCCCACTGTCAGTGAAGGTGGACCCCAAAACAGGGCTGAGACCCCACTCCTGGTTATGGCAGGGACTGAATCCTGAAACAGTGCTGGGACCCCCTGTCAGTGATGGCTGTGGAGCTGCACCCCAAAATAGCACTGGGACCCCATTTTTGGTGACAGCAGTGAAGGTGACCCCCAAACCAGGGCTGGGACCCCACTGGTGGCAGTGGCAGGAGCTGCAGCCCTCCCTTGCCTCTCTCCCCGAGGCTGCCCCCCGTTTTGGGGGGACGTTTTGGGGGACATTCCTGCCCCGGGCCCAGGAACTGCAGCAAGAAGCGGCTCATTGTGCTCGGCCAGCCCTGCCCGGCCGAACAAAAACCCTCCTCTTCTCCCTCCCTCGGCCCCGCCAGCGCTGCCCCCGGACAATCCCCGGCCCCGAATCGCCAAGTGCGGAGCATCCAAGCCCGGCCCCGGCGCTGGAAAGGAGGTTTTTCCAACCCAAAAAGCCGCGCGGTGCGTTCCCCGTTCCCACCCAGCCGGCCCTGCCCGGGGGTCTCGGCCCTGCCCCCGGCCCCAAACCCGGTTAAGCCTCAACGAGCGTCCCAATTGAATTAGTTAAACTGCATTAGAGCCCTGCGAGGACACGGTTCAGAGTGGAAACGGCCCTAATGTGATTTCAGCCCAGTTCCCTGCCGCGATTTGCAAGTCAGAGAAATCGAATTAGGGGCTGTTTTCATTCTGAACTCTGTCCACACAGGCCAGTAATGCAGCTTAATTAATCTGCTTTAAAATTGAGCCTGTCTTTCATTCTGGCTTCACCTGACTCACCCCCGAGGAGCAAAAACCCACCGGCAAGGAGGGCTGGGACCTCTGGGTTTAGATTTGGGGATGGAAAGTCCTGGAGGGTCTAGAGAAAACCAGGATTATCCCTAATCCCATCAGGGAATAATCTGGGGTGGAGCCCCGAGCTGCAGCTCCGGCTCTGGGGCTCCTCAGTGCCCGCGGAGCTGGAATTGGAGCATCCCGGCTGCTTCCCGGCTGCTTCCCGGCGTTCCAGCGGCTCCGCGGGCTCCAGGGTGGGGGTTTCCCGCTTCTCCTCGGTGGTTATCACCCCTTAACAACGTTCTCTCCTCCGTGGAAGCGAGCGGGCAGCTGGAACCGGCTGCATTAAGGCCCGGGAAGGCTGGGAATTGTCATCCAGCAGCTCCAAGGAAACCCGGGCTGGGCCAGGGAAAACCTCAGCCCCCCCAAAACCCACTGCCCCTTTATGTCCCACGCACCCTCTGTCTGCTCCCCACCCTCCTCCCAGTTCCCTTTTTCCCATTTCCTTCCCAGTTCCCTTTTGCCCATCCCAAATTTGCAGAGGGAAGGGGCTGGGGGGGGGTCTGGGCATCAAAACACGACCCCCGGGGGGATCTGGGGACACCTCCAAGGGGGAGGGGGGTCTCTCCCACCCTCCCAACGCTCCTGTTTTCTCCGCACAGGTAAAACGGCATCGCCATAACGGGGCTGCAATTAAAAGGGAGTTAATGACTTAATGAATCATCACAAATTAACACGCGACCCGCTGACCCGCTCTGGTTGTGGCCACCGCCTTTGGAATTGCGGATCCTTTCATTTCCCTCCGGCAAATTGGCTGCTCATTTAGTGTCTGTAGGAGGGCGGTGGGGAGGAGAAAAGGGGGGTCTGCAGGGCAGGAAAAGCCCCGCCCGGAGGGGGTGACCCCCCCAAACCCCCCCTCCCCCCCGCGCTGACCCGCAGCCCGAGCCTCGGCACGGCCAGAAACTGCCCCGTCAGCTCCTCCTCGGCCGAGGATCTGCAGCGCTGCAGAAAATTCAGCCTTAAATTAATTTACGACAAATTAAATTACGATTTTTCGGGGCGCCGAGAGCTGAGCACGTGCCTGAGGTTTGCGCGCTGGTGAAGCAT